TAGAAGGTTGGACTTGATGATCTTAAAGGTCTCTCCCAACTATAATGATTCCATGATTTTAATAGGTTTTATGTATGTACCTTTTTCTTTTTCAGAAAACTGTCATGAAGACAACCTGGGGTGTATTGGATCCACCTGTGGGAAACACACGTTTAAATGTGATTAGATTAATATCTAGCCTTTTACAGACGAATACAAGCAGTGTGAATCAGGAGCTTATAGAGCTTAACAGCATAGGAGTAATACTGGTAAGAACTTTACGCTGCCTTCTTTATTTTTATGGATTGCTATGAAGATCTTGTCTGTTTCTGTGTCACTGCAGATAATTTGTAGTGTATTTTCCAGCCAGACTTTTCAGCCTGTTTGTGTTGTGGCTTCTGTTGCACTGTTTAAGAACTTTTAACATTGGGTTTTACTGTTAAAATTCATCTGTCTGAAGTCAGCATTTTCCTCTGATCACTTGAATGATTCTTATTCTCTACACCTTCATAAATATATGAAGTGTTTTCTTAGCAAGCTTTTTTCATCTGTATATTCTCAAGTTTTCAGGCATGTTCAAGGCTTCCCTGCTGTTCTCATTCTCTTCCTAAATTGTTCCCTCAAAACCCCTTTTCCTCTCTTAATAATATATGGGGCACCAAATAGTATCTCAGCCCTGTCCTATAAAGGGACAGTTATTCTTGGTAGCTCGTTACGCCTTCAAACCTCTGAAAGCAAGATGTTGCACAGCAAACTTCCAGTGAGTTAACTCACTGCTTTTTGGTAATGTAGAGTGTGTACTTTGATTACTTCCTACCTCATACTTCAACTATAGCAGGATATATTTGTTGTGTTTAGGTTGACCAAAAAATTCAAATGTTGGCATCAGTTAAAAAATAACTAGCAAAACATGCTAGAACTTACACTACAGTTTCTGAACACAATATGTAAGCTTCTGCTTCTAAGCAGGCAGTTGCAAACTTAAAGCATAAGTATTTTCTCTGCCCCAGATTGTTTTAGTCTAAAATTCCTTTTTCCTTCAACTAATTAATACAGCTGTGGCTGTAATGTCTTCATCTCAATTTCTCTGCACTGCTTGAGTTTGCAGACAGGTGCTAACTTGGATAGAAATACTAACTTCACCATAAGTGGAGTTTTTTCCTTGATGCCTTGTCTAAGGGAATGTATGTGCTATGAACATTTGTGTGTTCTGATAAGTAGATGATTTTTGTAATCTAAATTCAGTGAGACTTGAACGTACTCTTCTGTTGGAGGTTTTACATAAGAAAAAAGGTAATTATAACCATATAAACTTCTCAGTGCTCCATGCTGTTTGCTGAAACAGCACATGCTTTACTGTGCAGACTTGACTGTTAGGAAAGGTAACTGTCTAGTTTCAGTAGCACATCTTTATGGGAGGATGTCATTAGTTTAGGAGGACTGAAGGAAAATTGGAGCTCTTTAGCGATATTTTGAATGAGACGTGGATTGTGTAATACTGTTCCAATCACTGCACATTATTTCCATACTTAATTTCATTTTACCAGCGACAGCAATCATTTGAGTTTTGCAGTAAGAAGTTGTCTAAACTGACTGGACGTAAAGCTTGAAAAAATCTTTCCTGTGTTTAAGAGGAAAAATGTGGAGAACTAGGAACATACTAAATGAACACTGTTTATTGTATCTCAACCTCGGTATTTGTCTTGTGTAAGGTGTTTAATAATCTTAAACTGCACCTAGATTATCTGAGGTAGCCTTCTATAATAGAAGAATAATAGATGACAGGTTTAAAACAGATAGATACTGTTCTTGTAAGGAATCTCACTGAAGTGAGGAGCACATTAGAAATGGTATTGTAGACGCCTGAAAGTTAAGTGAACTCAGAAAAGAGAAATCTGTCAAGGGCTGTTAAGGTCATAAATAACACTTTTGACTCCAGGACTCTCTGGGCTGCAGCTAGCAGAAAGAATGTAAGTGGGGAGTGTCATTCCTCCCTGTCTTTGTTCTCTGAATGTGCATTGTTGCTTACCCCCGGGATAAATCCAGTTACAGTTGAGTTTTTGTTCTGATCCAGTATGATAGTCCTTGTGTTCAGATAATAGCAAGCCTAAGAATTAACTTTTTTGTAGGTCACTAATTTTCTCTTGCACAATAATACTTTTTGTGAAACTTAAAGGATTTGTTCCAGTGTAATCATTCAGATGACTTGCTGGAGTGAGACTATTGGTTATGTTTAATGAAAAGACCTTGGTTTATGTAAACCTTGTTGAATTTGTTTTTCAGGACATGTTCTTTAAGTATACATGGAATAACTTTTTGCATACTCAAGTAGAAATCTGTATTGCGTTGATTCTTGCAAGTCCTCTTGGAAGCACAGAAAATAGCACAATTACAGATCAGGATTCCACTGGGGACCATCTCTTACTGAAACATGTAAGTTTTGGGTTTTTTGGGAATCTCTTGAATTTTCGTGTCTCCAGGCTATTGTAGCAGTTACTCTTACATAAAATATACCCCAATTTTAGTTTGTTTATATATAGAATGAACAGGAATATTTTTCTGTTTTCTCTCAAAATGTCAGTTCAGGTTGTTAAACCTGAAAGTGCCATAGAGTAGACTTTTGCTGTCCCAAAGTGAGCATGTGTGCAGAGCTGCAAGTATTTCTTTTCCTTGGAGGAGAAGTTCCTCTTATTTTTAAGAATTAAAATTGCTGTTTCAGTAGGTTTATGCTACTACAACTCAGCAGCTGTAAAGAGAAGTACAATTAATGTAGTTTTAGCTTTTAGGTCTCTGGTTGGGATCTGACTGCTGCTTCTGAACTTTAAACCCTTTAATGAAAGTATTTATCCTGAACCTGAAATTAGTTGTCTTGCAAAACTTTAGTATTTGTTAAAATCAACTGTAAAATGCATAATAGTGTTCCACTTTACTGCTACTAAGCATACTTTGCTTTTTTGGTAGCTCTTCCTTAAGTGCCAGTTAATAGAACGAATACTTGAAGCATGGGAGATGAATGAGAAGAAACAGTGAGTAACTCATTTTTTCATTCCCTACAATTGTCTACATAAGGCTTGAATTGTGAAATGAATGTATGACTAATTTATAACTGATCGGGCCAGTTCTAAAAACACTTCTAAGTTAATATTTGGATTAAAGCTTTCTCTCATACTACTTTTTGGTAGCGTTCTAATGCTTTTTCCCATGACCATTTGAGAATACAATAGTTTGTCATTCTTGTCGTATATAAGATATTACTATGATCTTTAAAGTTTGCCCGTCTTCAAGTACAGAAACGTACCACAGGTTTTGAGAAGACAGGAAATACTTTTCTCCAGTAAGTAATTGAGAATTATTTATAAACACATCAAAGCATATTGCATATTGGGGAGCAACAAACTTTTAAGTAGTAAAAGCCAAGTCCTCAGCAATGGAATACCTTCTAAAAGTGTGTGCTTGTGAAAGGATGGAAGTTTCAAGTAGCTAGTGTTGTCTGAAACTGTGTTCATAGCAGGAAGAAAAAACCTTCAGTCTTCACCTGAGGTGATAAAACAGCTCTCTAAAGGCTCGTAAGTTTGACTCAGGACATACTGAACAGTAAATGCTAGCTCTAACTTGTCAAAATACTGAATTGGCTGACTAGGATAGTGTTGCTGGTTTGCTGGTGTATTATTTGAGACAGTTCTACTCCTCAAAATATTCCTGTTCCTGTTTGATGCAAATCAGATTATAAATAGATGGGTAATGTAACTAATCTAAAAATAAGGATGTTGAAGTAGGTGAAGAGTTGCTTGTTTTGAATGCACTTGTTACCTAAGCAATTGAGGAAATAAGAAAGGAATTTCTCTCTGAAGTTGTTCCTGTAAACAATATGATACTGTTTCATTCTTGACTTCTTGCATTGACATAATTTCGGTTACCTTGTGTTAGATGTTGGTGGTGGAAAATCAAGTAATGTGACTTGTGTTTGCGTAACATAAGCTACTTTCTGAACTGCTGTCACTTTACAAAGGTTTCAGTCAAGTTTGTGGGAGGTTTGTCTGGCCAATTGGGTGGGTCTTTCTTAATTTTTCATTTAAAAAGCACAAAACCTTAAAAAGCTGACACAGCAAATGTTTGGTTAGCTTGCTGCTAAAGGCTAGAAATTCAGTCCAAATCGGAGCGTTCACTTTAGCTCTTTGGTCAGATCTAGAATGGTTCCAGCTGATCATAGCTACTCAAAACACTGCCCTAAAAACTAGTGATTCCTGTTTCTACAAAGCAATTCTGTCACATAAAAAATATTTGAACCACCTTGTAATTGTACCTTTGGTATGCACTTAAATGTCATTCCTAAACTTCAGGAAAGCAATGATCTTAACTTAAATTTCAGTGGGTCATACCATTCCAGCTCTGTATGCTACATGTAATGTTAAGAAACAGCAATACTAGAGCATGCTTAGGATTTAAGAGTTTGGTATTTTCTCTTTCGACCATGGACTCAAAGCTCTAGGAGACAGTTCGGTGTCTTGGGGTTTTGAAAAATACTCTCAGCAACAGAGATTTCCTAAAAGCTGTGAATCTATTGTTAATTTTATAATTATCTTGATAACGCTGTACATGTTTTCTTTCTGTACAGACACAAATGTGAAAGCAGAAATAATCTGTTCGCATACTCGGCACTGCCTTCTTGGTAGTTTACGTGCTTGTTAAGTCTTCGAAACTGGCTCAGGGTAGACAAACCAGTTGGTGTCTTAAATTCTTGAGTCTCTGTGTGAACCTTTGGTTTTAGGATACAACTCTTCTGCTTAAGAACACCTACTGCTATTTGTCTTGTGTAAATTTGGTAGTACAGTTGCTCTGAGTGTGGGTAGTTGAATTCTTTTTTTCTCTTCCAGGGCTGAAGGAGGAAGACGGCATGGCTATATGGGTCATCTGACAAGGATAGCAAACTGTATTGTGCATAGTACAGATAAGGGACCAAACAGTACGATAGTCCAACAGCTCATTAAAGGTAACTTTAACAGTCTTAAATTTGTCTTCACGGCTTTCATTATCAAATTTTGAGCAAATGAATTAAACTTAAATTAAAAGGCAGCTGTTGGATAAAAGAAGCAAATAGTATTTCTGACATACCATCCTTAAACATATGTTCAAGTTTGGTTGGTGTGGTTTGGTTGGTTGGTGGGGTTTGTTTTTTTTTTCAAACAGTATCAAAGCTCTCTGAAATAAATGCAAAGAGATGCCGACTTGCTAAATTTGGACTTGTTTGCTAGATGGAGTAATCCTTATGGATTTAGGAGGATGTATATGTTTTTTGCAGTATTTCTGTTAGAGCAGAAGAGAACAGTTAAATGTTAAGTGTTGCTCCGTTGTTGATAGTATCAAATTGTTGTTTTTTTTTTCCCATTCCCTACGTTAGAGCTTCCAGAGGAGGTCAGAGAGCGATGGGAGACATTCTGCACAAGCTCTTTAGGAGAGACTAACAAGAGGAATACAGTGGACCTGGTAAGTAGTGATGGGTAAGGTTATCAAAATTGCTGCTGTTTACTTGGTCCCCAGTTTCTTTTTGTCAGCAGCGCAACCAGTCTTCCAAAGTAGCGTTTACTTGTGTCAGCAAGTACATCTAGTTGCTGCGCTATGGAACTGATAATTCTTTAGTTTACTTTTCAGCTAAAGCCGTATCATTAATACTTTGTACGGGAATCTTGCAGTAGCTCAGTTTGTATAGCTTATCCCGGACAGTTGCCAAGAAGGAAGTTTTCTTTGCAGCCTCAAGTTAGTGTCCTTGAAAGCTCCTGTCTGCTTGAAGAGTATGAACTAAAACTGCAGGAGCTGGTATTAATTGCTTTATCTACCATATGTAAATGAACCTATATAAGTTTAATGGGAAAATGCTGCCTGCATCCCACTGCATGTGTTACATTAACTTATTACTTAAGTAACTTTGCATACTTTTGTTGTGCACATGTCATTTCTTCTGCACGCAGCAGTAGTGATTACACTTTCAGAAAAAAGCTAAACTTAAGCAGAAGTGTGAAGAGGCCTTGTGTAATCATGTTAAATGTACAGTGCAAGAGTAATCCCTTGGCAACATTAATAAGCAGAGGCTGTTTCCAATGTCAGTGGACCAATTAATGAATTTAATATACCTGACTTCTCCAGGAATGCAGTGCTTTGCATATGGCTTCATTAACTTGTGCTAGTCTATATTAATTGGCCTATAAGACTAATGGACTGTTAAATTTGCCATTTCAACGTAATATAGAAACCAGAATATAATGCTAACATGATGTGTGTGGCAATAGAAGCAATAGGAAATCCATCTGAAGCTGTGCAACTTGTGGACAGGACCAAAGGTATATACAGGTGGTGTTTTTTTTTTCCATGAGCCTGTGAATGCAAAGAAGTTCATAGTGCTTGTAGAATAACGATAATTTCCTCTTGTTAGAAACTACTTCTTGGTCAAGGCCAAGAGAAGAGTCATCTAAAGAGGCAGAATTTTAAGCTGATTTGTAGTCAATAACATTGTAATTAGCTCTTTAGATACATGATCATTTACTTGGATGTACTTGATGTAACAACTGTAAAACCTCATTTAAAACATACCTCCAAACTCAGCAATAATCAGTTGAATAGAAATATGAAGCATCAGAACAAGTTCTTGTATCTGAAATACCATCTGGAAAATACTGTGTCTTTGCATTTCTAAAGTTATAGGCTTTGTTTTCACGTGCGCGATCAGTTCTCATGAGCCTTGGATTAGCATTTAGTTCAAAGATAAGCAGTAACGGACAGTACAACATGGTGTAGGAGATATTAAAAGACAGATCTTGTAGAAAACTCAGCTTGTTGTTCTACTGAGTCAAGTTTAAGTTACGGTTATTGTGTGGATGTATTCCGAAAGCACACCCCCACAGAATTTCTTCCCGGTCATACTATCCCCTGATACCATGCTTTTGATCTGTACTTTGGTGTCCATACTCCTGTCCTCTCCATTTATAAACCTGGACTATTTGGTGTGTTTGAACTGTTCTGTAAGTTGATGAAGGCATCCTGGATTAAAACAACAGCTTATCAGAAATAATGGTTATACCTGAAAAATTATCTATGTGATTTAAAGTGCAGATTTTCAGTGTTTCTAGAGCGGGATCTTAAGCACGCCTTTCTTAATTTTCTATAGATTAGCCTTATATTTATTGCTGGGTAGATGAGTAGACTTACTTAGTTCGAGGTTTTCCTGTCCTAAGCAAGCTGTTGAGCAGAATTTAGTCATGGGTTATTGTAGTTAAGAACACAGTTCCTGACCTGACTGACAGAACTATGGTTTAACTGTTACACTTGACCTTCTTCCATCAACCTACTGAATTTACTAAGCTGAGATGATCTGATCTTTATGTACATGCATACTCTTATGATGTGAGGTTAATTTAAAAAAATACGTAAATAAGCCATGTGAAGGCTATGGAAATAACTGATCTTGTCAGTACTTTCAATGCTTCGGTCGTTTGGTGCTCAACAGAGAGGTCTTTCGCTATAATAGAACAAGGTCTGTGGTCCTGGGATCCCGTGCATAATGAACTGCTTCTGCAGCCATGAGACTTCTTTTTGAGCTGTTTTACATCAAGATGTTCATTGTAGATCTATCAACACTTTATTCCTTTCATTCTCTTTCTCCCTCTTTAGGCTTTGCTGTCTTTCAAACAAGTTGTTATATGTTTTCTAAAAGAACAGTGACTGCAGACTTAGAAGTGAGCATGTAGCACAACTATCTCAGTTTCCCCAAAACACTTTGCAGGAAGTTTATTTTTGGTTTTCCACTGCTAGTTGTCCTTCTGGTAGAAGGTAGGCAGTACTTCACTAAGCTTACCTACTTATATTTGCCTAGCTGAAGATTAAACAAATGTGGAGTAACTGTTCATTTTCTCTTTAGACAAGGTACATTAATGATGCTGGTACAGTGAAGAATGCTATACAATTTGTAATACTAGGTTTGTACAAGAGACTGTGTACAACTTCAGATGTGTCTCTGTATGGCATCCTTCCAATATTAGTCATGATATTGAATGTTCATGAGGTATACTTAAAGACTAAGTGAGGAGAATATACCTCCCCTAAGCCTAAAAATAAGAATCTACAGGACAAATTGTTCATGGTTGCCTTAAAAATCACCATGTAGTTCCTTTCTCTTAAGGAAAATCCTTCTTAGTATTACTAGGAAATGAGGCAAAAAATGCCACAAATTAGAATGAATTATTTGTGAAGTGTCTGTGCTGTGTGTTAGTGTCAGAAAGCGACTCGTCTGAACAGTGAGGAGCTTTCTTAAGTAAAGAATTAATTCCTGAAATTTGCAGTGGTCATTCCCACTCCCTGCCCTGGCGTAATTCTACCATTTACCTATTAGGGTGGAATAATGCTAGTTTCTTCTTTCAGGTTTATGCATCAACTACAGTAGCTGTTAGAAAACAAGAGAAGTAACTCATGTCATGTTGGTTCCTAAAGGGAGAGTTTGGGGAAGAAGACACTGTGTCTAGCTAAGGGTCCTGAGCTTCTTTCTGTTACCGCAGTAAGGGTAGGATTTCTACCAGGGATTAACTCATTCACTAGTAGTAACTAAAACTAAATAAGCAACTTCTTACTTGGTTTTGGCTGTCTTTCCCCACTAACAAGTTGCAGTTGTAGAAGGAGTAGGTATGTTAACTTTTGTCCTTTAAAAATGTGCCCGCATGAGGGGGGTGGTATCTAGGGCAGCTCAGGTTGTGGTGTGGAATGTCATGTAATTACCTTGAAGCATGCAGACTTTCCAAGAATATTTTCATAAATACAACGGTGAGCACTAACCTTCAATGGGCTTGGTCTGTCATATGATGTAACAGTTCTCCGCACACAAGCCCGGAGATCACTTGATGTACGTTACTTATTATTCCCGCTTATTGACAGTTTTAGTGTTGGTAGATCAGGTTTCTGTCTGTCTTGTATGAAGCCTTGCATGTGTTTCAGTACTCCTTTTGTATAGACTTGTGTTTTCTTCAAAAAATAAAAAGAATCTGTGAGCCACCCAACTTCACTTGGGAGTCTGTAACATGGAGTTCTAGGGGTGTGTAGAATAATGCAATATATTATAGTGCAGTACAGAGTTTGTCCTATGTAGATTTGCTTTATACTACTGATGCTTCATAGAGTATTTCTGAAGGCTCAGCTGTCACTACTATTACTTTAGCTAATTGCTGTCCCAGCTAAAATTACTTTTGGAGTGCTATTCTGATTGAAGACAAGTACTTCCAAGAACATGTTGCTTAGATACCAGTGTCACTGAACAAACTATTCCCACTAGTTCTATGTCAGATCATAAAAAAAAAATAAATTCTTTTTTCAAGGGTAATGTCTAAAACAGTGGTTGCTGTGGCAACAACTCCATGTTTGTTTCTGCAAATACACATTGGTTACAAATTTCTGAAGTTTAATTCTTTTGTCTTTTTGTTAATACTGTAGATGCCTAACAGTTTCCCTTTGATTTTTCTATATGTATAGCAAAGGAGGAGGATCTCTGTATATATAATCTAGTATTTTGGTGACTACTGATTCACTTGCTGTTCAGTATATTTTGTGCAGTACAAAGACAAGATGCGAGTTTTGTCTCGTTTTGGATAACTGTAAGCTGTAGAACTGGCTTTTTAGTATTAAATAGTCATTCTGAAGTAGTCAAAAAGCTTTGGCTTTTTTGGGGTATTTAATACTCATGTATGTGTTAATGCTATTGAAATATTTCAGGGACTGTTGTATGTGGCATAGCAGTTGAGAAAACTAAAAATGACTCAGTTTCCTGTTTTGATATGAAACTGAAGATTGAGCTAGATAGTGTGAGTATACTTGAGTGGCTGTCACATACTGCGCGAATGACAAAATTCCTTTGTATAGGTTACTACCTGCCACATTCATTCTTCCAGTGATGATGAAATTGATTTTAAAGAAACTGGCTTCTCACAGGATTCTTCTTTGCAGCAGGTGAGTTGAATTCTTTTAACAGTGTAAGTTGCTCTTTCTCTAAAAATAAGAGATTTTGAAAAACTAGTGGAACTTGTATTTCTATCACAAGCAAATACAAATCTAGAAAATTTAAAATAAAACTTAGACATGTGCAGGCACACAACTGTGTTTTACTAAACCCAGAGGTACGGTTTTTAACACATCACAGTGTCTTGGTGTGCCTTCCCGTTTTTAGTCTTTGATCATGCTGTGTATGCAGATCTCTACTTATTATGCCTAAGAACACATTTTATATGCCAGCTGCCTGGCTAAGTTGAACACAGTTTCAATGTTAACTTTAGTTCTTACTAGATGTAGAAGTTTGAACTGGTGGCTTCTAATTGTGTTTTCTGGCAAGTGTGACTTGCTATGAAAGCAAATACAGGTTTCTGTTTGGCTAATAGATGTTTGGGGTTTTTTGACACTGATTTTGATGAGGAAACAAGGAGGATTGGATACTTGTTGTTACATGCTTTTAATTTTGGCAAAATGTGAAACACTGCAGCTGTCACAACAATATAAATGAAGAGCTAAGTATGCTGCTGTGACAGGTTATATCTAGCAGCTCGCATGTTTTTAACTTTATAGATCCTTCATACTTGGGATTGGATACTCGTTGTTACATGCTTTTAGTTTTTGGCAAAATGTGAAACTCTGCGGCTGTCACAACAATATAAATGAAGAGCTAAGTATGCTGCTGTGACAGGTTATATCTAGCAGCTCGAATGTTTTTAACTTTATAGATCCTTCATACTTGGGAAGTGTACGTAGCCAAATCTTCCTGAACTAAATTTCTGATGAACTTGATAACTTATTTTCAAATTCAGTGTATGCTTTTTGCAACTCATTTGTGAGTGTTTCAAAGATAATTATCATTTGGTTTGATGAAAAAATTGGAGAATGCCTAGGGAATTTTCAGATCAACTAGACTGAAAACTTAAGTCATATCTGTGTCCACCTTGAAGGCTTAATGCTTTCATAACTCACTAATTGATACTGATGCAGTGTTTAACGTGGTTATGGTATTAGAGTATTTTTGCAGTGAGTGATTATGGAGAACATTGGTGCCATTTTGATGAAGAATGACAGCATTTCTGTAAAAGTACCATCCTATCTGCAATATGCATCTCTTCCAATTCTTTCGCTGGTGGTGAAAGAGTGGGAGGCACACGGCACAAGACTACCAATAGACCCCTTATACAGAATGTTACTTAACTGGGTTATTAACCAAAATCTTTCAGCTCACACTAACAACCACGTAGTAACTACCTAGTCTAAGACTGGCTTCGGTACTTTATGCATCTTCTGTAGTTTTTTATAGTAAGTAATTGCTTGTGTAAGTTTGAATTGTGGGTGGTGGTTCAAGTTTTAAGAATCTGATGCGTTTTTATCTGATCAGTGATTTTTTTTTTTTGCGTGTAAGGTGCACCTGAATACAAACTTGATAAATTTGGTGCTATCTGTAGCAGCTCTAGTGAGAAAGTGAGATCTTCAAATATCTCTGTGCTTTTCATGCATCCCCTTAGTGACCTGCTGTGCCTAGGCAATCCCGGCAGTTTCAGGTAGTTAATCTGGAGAAATGCAGATGGTCCAGTGCTGTTTCTTTCAAGCTTGTTACCATTTTCTTAATCTTTTTTTTTTAGCATACTGAAAATATATTAGAGAACGGGATAGAACTGTCTAGGGTCTGAGATACATTAGGAGTTTATAACTGCATTTTATATACTTGTAGACAATTTTGATGTAGAGATAAGATTTCACACTAGTTTCATAACTAGCTGATGTCATAAACCTCATATCTTAATTTTCCGTTTATCCTGGTGAGTGGTGTTAATAGTTGCACCTTTTGTAAAACAGAACAAGTCTAAGTTCTTTGGGTTTTTCCTTCCCATAGATGTAATTTGCTAATGTGTTTCAGTCACATATCCGTAATAGTGAATATCCATAGTATTCATATATCCATAATAGTGAAAATACCTTTACAGGAAAGGTGTGTTCAGTAACCAGTGTAAAGCAGACAATTTTGTAGGGAGGACAGTCAGTGATTGATTGTCTATCAGTGTGATGTTGATATATTGATTGTGTTAGTATCAAATCCTGAAGTTTTTCAGAACTAACTGTCAGATTTTAAAATTTAGGATCAAAATGTAAAAGAATTCTTGCTTTGGCCTGGCTTAGCATAGTGACCTTACCCATCATGAGGGTTTTTCAGATGTGCTCCCAGCCCTGATAGTGTCTTACTGTATACCTCATCCTTCTGTATCTCCTTTCTTTTTCCTACAGTTTTCATAATGCCTTAATCAAAACTTGCTTTTTTTTGCCCATCCTCTTGTTTTCTTTCCATATTCACTTTGTTCAACTTTACCACCTTCTTCAAAAGTTTTGTCTGTATACTGTGTCCCTTTGAGATGTAAAATGTTCAATAGCTTCCTTTTTGTAGACACTGAATAGATGCTGCTGGTGTGTGTGCCTGAGACAGATATTTCTAGTGATAACTACATGATAAATATGCAACTGTGCTTTTGTATCTCTCTATATAATGCACATTTCTGGTTCTTGCCATTTATAACTTCATGTTATTTTTAACAAAGACAGCTTTTTCTTTTCGGTACTATACTGTGTTATTTCACTGTTTCTTTGGGGTGCATTTGGAAAGGTGCAGATTAACCCATGGCTAAACGAGAGATTTCACTTTCTTACTGAGAGCTGCTATTAGATTGTATTTCAAGTCGGTAAATGTAACTAGGTGTTTAGTCAGCGTTACTATTTAAAATTCAATGGTTAAGACAAATCCTTTTCCTGTCCTTTATGTTTAGATTAGAGAGACTTTTATTTCTTTAGAGCAAAATGGGCAAATAGGATTTAGAGTATTATTAGAATCATTATATCACTGTCGTTGGTCCTGGGGTTGCCAGGCCTTTTCTGATTATCAGATGCAACAAATGACGTCCAATTTTATTGACCAGTTTGGCTTCAACGATGAGAAGTTTGCTGATCAAGATGACATCGGCAAGTGAGTATGATGTTATACTGGCTTTGACTATAGTCTTGGGAGTTTCCTTTTATTGTATATTTGGCTGTGGTTTCACTGGTGATAAATACAAGCCTTTACTGATGCGAGATAGTTGCCAATCAATCCTGTCGTTTTTTGTACCATCCGCGTGCATTGATAGAAGCCTCCCTGAACAGTTTACAGAGAGAAAGCAACAGCTTATCTTCCATTTCTAATGTCCTGTCCTGGTTGTGCCAACATGAGAACACAGTGCTTGTGAATAAATAATTAAATTATAACTCTGCTTTTGAAAGCTATGTCTGTCCAATGACATGGACATGACTCTGTGCCTCTGATATTCCTGCTCCCGTTGTGTGTTCCCCCCGCCCCCCCAAATCTCTACCAGGCCAGATGAATAGCACTACTTTTAAGTTTTCCTGGAAAAGTTGACAGGAGCAACACATCCGTGAGTGTACTTTTCTGTAGGGGACAGTAAGGAAGGGCATCGTAAATCTACCTTTGTTTCGTGGGGGTTCTTGCTGGAAAAAAAAAAAATTATCTTAGTTTTTTGGTAAGAATTCATGGTTTGGGATGCAAGAACATGCAGATTAAAAATCATTACTTAAAGATGGTTTCTGGAATGGTAAAATACAATAAAATATCTCGGTGCTCTTTTGTAAGACGTGTTTAGTAAGTGGTGGTTGACTAAATGTTGCCCGTGCCATCTAAGAAGCATTGCTGCCTTTTTACACAGCATAATCTGCTGAGATTCTAGAGGAAGATATGATAGGAGAGGAAGCAACTCTTGATATACTCTTTAATGTTGTTAGAAGCAAGTGGGTTTTGGCAAGGATAGGAGTTGGAATTCCTTTAAGGTCATGCCTTTGGTAGTGTATGGTCTTGGTGGAAAGAAGATTACTATTTGTTTAAGCAGATCTCTTGAGATTTGTGATAGGTATACTGTTGATGAGCCGTTGGTTGAATTAAGCTGTAGATAAAGTTACTTTGAAGTTAGGTCTTTTGTGCAAGAATCAATTACAGCTTAAATTACATGCTTACTGTTGTACAGTAGTTCAGATGGCAGCTTGCACAGTAATTCACTTAAAGCTTATGTTCCTTCAGGCTACTTACCTTGTTCCCTGCTTTGTAATGCAGTGAGAATTAGAGGAGGAGTAGTAAGTGCTCTACTGAATGCACTGCTATAATGTGGCTAGAGAAAGAATACATTAACTCTTTTGAAAGTCTGGTAGTATTTCCCTTCTTTTCCTCCTCTTCCTTTTTCCTTCCCCTAGATTGTAGGTTACCTAATTTAGTTTCCCTAATGCTATTTTTAGTCGAAGACATGTTTGTAACTACTTTAGTGAAACTACTCGATAGCTTAATTTGTGAAGATGTGTAAAGCCTAAATTTAGTGTTCAGTTTGGAGAAAAACTTAAGTGATTGGTTTAAAAAAATTAGAGATTCATTTTTTTCTTTAAGAAACAGAAGCTGATACTACGTTTTTCACTTTCTCTCTTCCTGTTGAGAAGGTCCTTCTAGAGAGTGGTGAAATCAGTCAGAAGGTAAAAGAACTGCTAACGCAGATCTTTGCTGGATTTTGAGCTGTATCGTGGTAGAGCATGGTCAGATTAGGCATTCTTTAGGCCTGCTTTTTTTTTCCTGGTGCGTAATAGTACAGTATTTGATATTTGCGTATATCATTTCAGTTATGCTTGCTTAGGCCTGTTATATATTCACAGCTATCTCTAGGATACAGACAACATTGTTTTGTCTTCTTGTTTAAAATATTTCGCAGTTAGAAAAATCACATGAATGCCAGGCCTCCTGAATATGGAATTTGACTGTTTTATATTGGAAACTACTTTGTATTTAATCTTATATTTTTAGATTATTGGAAGATGAGAAACCTAAGAGAAATGAAATGTCTTCATATCATAATACAACATCTTGTTTTATTGCATACATCTGCTTTTTTGTAGTGTTTCTTTTGATCGGGTCTCAGACATCAACTTTACCCTCAATACGAATGAAAGTGTAAGTATGTGTTCCTTTACTGTCAGAAAAATTACGGTCTTGTAAACTTTGGTTTGACCTCAGTTTGGTAGTGGTTGTTATATTTACTCCTTTGTGTAATCTTCGGAAAATAACTACCCTACTTTGTTCCTGTATCATGAGATTTTCTAATTGGAAGATGCTGCTGTTGTTATTTGTGATCAATATTAAACAGAATTGCTTCTAATTTGTATGACCAGGTTCAAAACCAGGCTTGGATCTGATTTGTGCATATTGCACACTTTGTGTTTTATGGGTAGAAGCTATTTCAGTCTTCCAGTGAGATTGTGGTGACAGAAAAGTAAGGACAGAGACTTTAACCCTAGATATTATTTGTTAGTTGAACTGAAGTGAACCCCACTACAGAAGATAAAGCTGGAGTACTTGGTTTGGTTATCTGAAAAGCTCTTTAATGTCACTCCTGCATGCTGTTCGTAAACAGGATAGAAGCTCCTGTCTGCTCTGTGCCAGTCCACTCACCTTGTTAGTAGCAGAGCAAAACAAACACCACTGAATATTTTCTTGACAAGCTTTAAGTTGTTAAGACATTCTGATTTTCTGCTGCTTTTAGAGAGATGTGGGGTTTTTTGTTCTGTGTTGTTCCGCCGCCCCCAGTTTAAGATTCCCTTCAGAGTAGTCATATATTTCCAAAATGTTTACTAATGTAAGTAGAATAGTTAATCGTAAATACAGATTTTATACTTTTTCTATATTTAGGGCAATATAGCCTTGTTTGAGGCATGCTGTAAGGAGCGGATACAGCAGTTTGATGATGGTGGCTCTGATGAAGAAGACATTTGGGAAGAAAAACATATTGCATTTACACCAGAGTCCCAGAGGCGTTCCAGGTAAGAAATGTGATATTCCATTTATTTATTTATTTTCATCCAAATAGTGGTATAGTGAGCCCTCAATACTGAGCATGTCTTTTGGTTCTGGCTGGCTGTTAGCACACGTGTAACTAGCTGTTCCCATTCTGTGGAGAAACGGCTTTAGTGGGGAATGGCTCTTCCAGCTGTGATTTGCAGAAGATGGCAACAGCTGCCGTGCCTAATCGGCTTTTCCTGCACTTCAGCTTTTGTAGCTTTTTTTTTTTCCCCTGCTGCTTATTCTGCTTTTAAACCTGCTTGGCCATTCTTGCCTTGTCCAAGGCAGTCCAGCTCCACACCTCTGTAGACCTTTCTGTCTTCTCTACAGTAGCAGAGTGGTTGTGGATAGAAAGCTGCATTGAGGGGTCCCCAAAACTTTTGAGGGCTGTGCAACCTCCCTTGGTATCTACTGAATTTTGTCCCAGGGTAGTCTTGACTTTTCTGACCTTCTTGTGGCTTGACTCACAACCCCAATCTCTTCTTCCCTTGCAGCCTTCAAAATGCATGTTGCTAATACCTTCTGTACAAAATCAATTATTTTGTCTGATAGTGTTGTGGTTACTTAATGTGATGTGTTTCAGGGACATCCTTACCTTCTCACCTTACCCTGCTTTTTGTGTTAGTTTAGCTCACCAGGAAGGGAGAGATGCCCATAGGGTTTCAAGTATGTACATAGTTGAAGAAAATGGACTGGAATACAGTTGGGGAGACTTTAAAATAGATTGGTTCTTAGATTTTAAAATAAATCAAGTTATATCTTGTTAGACTGGTGTTGAGGAGTTTTGTATTTCAGCACTACTGGTTAGAGTGAAGAGACCAAATAGACCAACAATCTCTGTATACAGATCTGATTCCTTGCTTTCCTTTTCTACTTCCTTCTGCATGGCAGGAGTAAAACCAATCTTTGTCTTTTACTTGTAAATGGGAGGTGAAAATGATAGCCTCTTTACATGATCAAATGGAAAAACCTTAAACCTTGTTTTTTTGAGAGAGAAAGGAGGGGTCTACTAACAGCTAACAAATCATACCTCAGTTAATCTATCGGAAAGGATTGCTATTGTAATTCTCTTTAACCTTGGTATTTAATTGTGCCCAGGGTCAGATACTAAACACAGAATGTAAACGATCTCTTTGTATTTTAAGTTCGGGCAGTACAGACAGTGAAGAAAGTACAGATTCTGAAGAAGAGGATGGAACAAAACAAGACTTGTTTGAATCGCACACCAATACAGAGGACAAAATGGAAGTAGACTTAAGTGAACGTACGTAGCTTTGCTCCCAGCTGCTTTGAGTTATAGGAAAGTGTTAGATCTAGCAGTCTTACTGTGTAGGAGTTTTCCTTGCTTACCATTTTTATTCCAACTGTCTTAATAAAGTAGTCTTTCCCACTGTAAAGACTGCCTGCAACAGAGCATGCGAATGTTGGGAACTTTGAATTCCTTACGTGTCTTGAGTCAAAGTTACTGATTCTCTCCAAAATCCATGTTTCTACTCTTCCAGAGGAAAAAAAGGAGGAATCAGAAAGGGAAGGAGGAGATGTAATCTTTTATACGACTTGACTTACCTGCAAAAACTAATAGGTTGTTAATCTTCAAACCTAAAATATGGTTATTTTTACTGGAAACCTTTCAGACCAACTTTTCATCTAACAATGCTCTTTTAAAAGACTTCCTACAGAAGCCAAGTAAATTTGCATTGGTCTGATTCCATGTGTGAATGAAAGATGTTCATCAATAGACTCTTATATGCAAACTTAACTGATGTAATTGGTTAAAAAAGTTCTCACGTTCAAGTCACAGCAGTCTAAACTGGCTTTAGTTAAACTGGCAATATCTGTAGGTAGAAGCCCTGTGTTTATCTAGACTGTAAGGAATTAAATTAAAATAGAAGGAAAAGTTAAGGGTTTTCTTTTCTTTTGTCAGATTGGTGTCGTTGGCATCTGTGTGTCAAACAAGTTTTGATCCATGTGGGTCTCCTCCCATATCTGCCTGGGTTGGAATTTCTAATTACTAGTCAGAGCTTCCTTTTCAGCCTGTTTTTTTGTATGTAAGTGTTAATGGAAAACATGTTTCCCTTGGGTAGGTGAAGTATTTTGAATTGACCTATCCTAAATTAGATGCTGTTAAGTCACGGTTGCTCCAAAATTTAAAATCCCAATAAATATTTTAAGTTTTAAAAAGCCTTAAACTTTTCTGAAACTTAGCAGTGGTGTTAGTGCATGAGAAATTATTTAGAGACTGCCCATACCTAAGTTGACGTGCTCGTTTTCTATGTTGAGGAAAATGTGCATAGGAAACTGAAAACGGATGAAAACTCTAAGATTTTTTGGGTTTTAATTATAGATATTAGTTTTGAGAAATGATAACAAATGCTGTTGTTAGTTTAAAGAATAAAGTGGGATTATACTTGTGATCTAGTATGGTTTATTATCTTTTGTTCTTCAGATAAGCTATATCGATTTTTAGCAGAATATTCCGAGTTACAGTTTTTAAAATTCTGCCTTACTAGCAGAATTTCCCTTTTAGGGAATGCATTCATTTTTAACAGTATATAGAGGATTTTTCTGCATGTGCTTTAAAGTCTAGTTATGTATTTTGCTGCTCCTTTTGGAATGTACATATAGAGAATCAGTATGTTAGGCATATGTGCACTCATGTTCTTTATTTAAATTTGTTCTTAATGAACTTGTTGATGGTTTTTCAGCACCAAACTGGTCAGCTAACTTTGATGTACCCATGGAGACTGCACATGGTGCCAATCTGGATTCTGTTGGGTCTGATGTGTGGAGTACAGAAGAACCTATGCCAGCAAAAGAAACTGGGTGGGCTTCCTTTTCTGAGTTCACATCCTCTTTGAGGTAAGAATGTTAGTGATTCAGGGCAAGTTCTTCACTACTAAATGTAGTAGCAGCTGCTGTTTGGTTTCCTTGGGGTATCCATCTCTACCCAAGCATGTGTTGGTAGTGTTGTGGTGGAATACAACGTGCTTAGTGTCTGAATGGCCCTATGTTATAATAGTATGTCTTTGTATGATCTACCTCGTGGCAGGCTTTTGTAGAATGGGTGGATCCTAGTGTGTCATTGTTTTAGAGGGTTTTTAAAGATTATTTGGGTCCTTTAATATCAGTCTCTGATCAGAATTTGGGCTGTGTGTTGTTTTTTTTTTAATTTTTATTTTTATTTTTTAGCGTAGGCTGAACCCAGTGAAGGGTTGAATGTGAACTGTTGAATGTCAAGGTCATAAAATGTATATGATGATTCTGGCTTATGGATGTTTGAGGTTTTGTGTTTTGGGCTTTTTTGTTTGTGTTTTTTGAAAACTGGCATGATTATGCAGCTGTGATATCTAGGTTAGGCAGTTCTGCACTATTTTGAGAATGCCCGAGATAGACTTTCCTTTCTTGGCTTGAAGTTTACATAAAAAATAACTGAAGTCCTCTGTGTAAGTACCTAATCATATAGATGTGAATTTTGAGTTGCTAAATACTAGCAGTCAGGAACTGATTCCTTCTCTAGTCAGAAGACTCTTCCTTTTGTACATTTGGCTCTCAATTGTCTGTCTGGACATTAAACAGCTCGGATATAAAAGTATGATTTTTTTCCAACATAAAATAGTGTATTGTTTCATGCTTGAGGCAGGTAAGCTGATAACAGAATTAAGAGTTTAGAAAATGAAGACTTGGGAGTTGCCACGTTAGTGGATAGAAAAGACATTATTCTGTAAATGGTGGGAAGTGTTTGAAGTGGCCAGATCTTGTCTTTTGAGTTTCCTAAGAATAAAAAACTTGTTGGTATACTGTATAGACAGTTAAGCAGTAAAATCACTTCCGTAGTAGATGATGAGGACTCTGTTGGCAGTCTCAGCAGAGAAGCATCTTTGAAGTTGCAAAGAGTGCATTTAGAAAGACAGTTAAAAATGTTGGAAACTCTACAAGGAGTCAGTGATACTTTTATCTCTTATTTACCAGGGACATGTCCGCTACTGCTTGTAATCAAACATAGTAAAAGAAGAAAAAATAAAACCACCACCAAATGTGTACTCAGTCAGCTCAGTTCTGGTGGATTTTGTGTTACTAAACTTCTGTTTAGCCTGTCTACCCAAGACTCCTAGAAACAAACTTGCTGTCACTCAGTTTCAGTAGAGTTCTAGGCCTCATAGTTTTGATACAGAACTAAAAATACTGTTTTAAGAACATTCATTCTGCTATTCAGAAAGGTATCTAAAGCTTTTTTACTTTGTATTTGAAGCTCAAAAGATTCCTTAAGAAGTAATTCTCCTGTGGAAATGGAAACAAACACAGACCCAATTGATCCCTTGAGTGCGAATGTAACTGCTCTTGCAACGCAGCTAGAGAGTAAGTACACTGCATCCAGAAATGCAAACAGATTGATTTTAAGAGTTGTACCCAAGAAAGATCTCCCTGAACTTTAAGATTTAGCTTTCCAGAGGCCTCTCATCTGGGTCTGCTGCTGTTCTGCCGAGTAATGAAAATGACTTGTCGAAGAGTTTCTGAACTATTTAAAATAGTATCCTATTTAAAACAGGAGCCAGTGTTGTTATTACCTCTAAAAAGCCTGCCCATCACGAACAGAACAGCATGACAAAGAAGCTAAGTGTGTTCTTTAGAGAATCCTTGCCTGCGTCAGCACTTAGCCTGATGCCAAAAAGAGTGGTAGCCTCTAGTCTCCTCCTATGTGGCAATGCGCCAGTAGCCTCAATGTATTCAAACTTCCTCTTCCTGCTCATTCCCTTCCAAGCTACCTTCACTATGCATGCACTAATTCTTGCTTCTACACGTATGAACTCGTTAAAGGCCAAGCATGTGCTAATTAGCTTTTTATATATATTATTAACAGACAGAACAAGAAGTGCAGGTGAGCAGTCCAGGGAGACTGGACTTCCCAAAGACTTGTGTGTACTTGGAAACTTACTGTCAAATTTGTACTGCGTGGGCTTGCATAATGCAGAAGAATAATACGTCACTGTAATCCTAGTAAAGTCTTGTTTAGGCAAACCTGTTGTGGTAACTGTTGTCTATCTAAACCACTAAGTGGCTTGCAAAATGAATGGGGAAAAAAAACTGACAAAAAACCAAAATAGTTACAGAATGTGACTCTTCCTTAAGCCATCTGTAGGAAGTACTTGTGCTCTCTATATGTGTAGTGGGGGTTGCAGAAAGGTGACTTTCTCTGTAAGGAAGAATTCAAGAAATGTACGAAACTGCTAAAATACAGTTCTGGTTATGTTGACCTATATGCTTGCTCATGAAATCGAAACATAACCAGCCATGTATTAAATTACTTCTACATATCTAGCCCCAGGAAGTGTTGCTATGGAGGCCAGCTCAGATGGAGAAGATGATGTAGAAAATGCAGACAAGGTAACTGAAACAGTAATGAACGGCAGCATGAAGGAGACACTGAGCCTTACTGTAGATGCTAAAACCGAAACGGCGGTTTTCAAAAGGTGAGAATACCTATTTACTGTCTTCCCATCCTTGTAAAATAGACACTATTGATGGAATGCTACGTGTCACCAAAAAGAGTTCTTTGCAAGTGATAATTCCTGAGGCTTTAACTAGAAACCTTCTTCCAAAGTAATTGTTTTCAAATTTTACTTCCAGTTAGTTACTATAACGTATGTCTTCCTTTTCAAGCCTTAATTTCAGTGGAAGATTATTAGTCGAAGACTGACTCAATAACTTTTGACTCTGATGCACATTATTGTGCATTTTTTATGTACGATTATTCTTCTAACATACAGTTGATTGCATGTCAAAGCTAAGATGTTAAAATTTTGCACAGAATTGTTAGATTTGGATTGGAATTCCATTCCTCTCACCCAGAAGGATGGAGGACAGAAGTTGAAGGCCAGCCAAGCACTACTCATCTGACATTTGGGGTGATCATTGTTGGTGGTATGGATGATGGTGTCAAATCTGTTCTGGACTACAGGTGTCACATAGAATTCTAGAATAACCGGAAGAACAAATTCCTTAATCTTGATATCTTCTGATATAAAGTGTTTGATTCAGGGAAAAAATGCATTACAATATGGTTATATTCCGTATATAGATCTATACCTACCATAGATCAACATTGTGATCCTTTTATGGGAATAAAGCATGTTTCTGTTGCATCTACTTGATCTCATCTACTAAGATCTTGTGATCTTGGATTTAATGATCAGGTTTTGTATTTAGTATCAAATCTTCATGTAGGACACAAACAGTCCGACCTGCAAAAATAACTTTGCCTTTATTAATTGAAGCTGGTGTGTTTCCCCCCCGATCTTGACAAATAAGGACATGTTACTAGCATTTTGGCATGCAACCCTCTTCTCATTCTTTTAGAATAATTTCCTAGTATCTGTCCCTATTATAGCTTTAAATATTGAAAAGAAATTGTCTGTATGTCGTGGAAGATGCTTAAAAAAAATTCCATTCCAGTAGAAAAACCTTCCCAGTATTAGTCCTTAAACTGCCCTTCTTTTAAATTGCTTTTACTTTGTCCTGTTGATGTTAGTAGAGAAGTGCTATTCACTTTGGATGGTTCAGGAATTGGAACATCACAGCTTTCAGTCACTCATGCTTCCATCCTTTTGATTATCGAAGCAATAAGAGCTCTAATCTCTTTTGGCACCTACCTTAACTTCTGATGTTTTTCAGTACAGAGGAGGGAGCATTTATGGCTGCACAGTGCTTATAAATCAAATGATGTTGTTAGAGGAATTGAAGTAAAGTAGTTTAGAGGAGGATTGTGACTCAGTGCAGACTGATGTGGCATGGAACCGTAGTACCTTGCTGACTTAGTAAATGATGCATCTGCTCTCCTGTTTATTTTGTACTTTGGGGGACGCTTTTATATGGTCTGCACTCCTATTGTATCAGATGTTTACAGTCGGATTTAGTTAGCCATGGTGTTTTTAAACTTCTCCTTAAACTGCTTGAGTTCACATGCACGTTAAAGTTCTGTGACTTCTGATACTGGTGCAAAAACTAACATGCCAAGACATGTTAGTTTTGATGTGTACGTATACAAGACGTATACAGAGGAGTCAAGCTTGAAATTAAGTAATGAAGTCGAGGAAATGGAACCAAATTCATGATGATTTCATTAAGATCCATGTTAAGTGAGCCTTCAAACCTAGCAAAGCTTGTCAAGTTCAGCAGCAAGTTGGCTACGATATTAATCATTGCATCAAATGGCTTCTCTTGTACTGTTTTTGCACTGCCTGCACTTGATGTTACCAGCAGTTCTTGCCTGCCTTCATGGAATTACCTGCTTGAGCTGTGGAGTAAGCATTTAAATTCTTGTAGTTAAAAGGACAGAGAGGTGCAAAGGAAGGCAATATCATAGAATTCTGCAGGTCAGAAGGGATGTCAGAAGATCATCTGGCCCAGTCTTTTGTGGGAAAGGGAGCCCAGATGAGATCATCCAGCACTCTGTCCAGTTGCATCTTGAAAACCTCTAGCAATGGGGACTCTGGGATCTTGATTTGGAAAGGGGAGATTAAGGTAATACAGAAGGAGGCTGAAAGGTGAGGTCTTAAATATGGAGACTGTTCTACTGTGGTGGAGGTATGTGGCCTCATACTGAGTCAATGGTCATGTGGATTTCTTTAAACTGACTTTTAAATATGCCAGAACAACAAATGGGAGAGAAAAGTGGTATATCCTTTGGAATAAATAATCTAAAACAATGCGGGGGGGAGGGATGTGAATCTAGGTTGAGACAATTAGAGTAGCAAGAGGAGGTCCTGCTCTGACCTGTGTAGCTGGCCAAAGTGGATGCTTCCAGACCTAAGTTTTATATTAGGTTTCTGCCAATAGAAAACTGATGGTGTTGAAGTCAACATTGAGAGGAGGAGGAGCATCATAAGTGCAGTAGTTAATTTGTGGAAAACCGCAAAGGACAAAAATGTAGTTTCTGAACTTAGTTTGAAGTGGAGAATAAGAAGGGAAGAATGATAGGAGAGACTACTCTTTTTTAAAAAATAAAAATATTAGGAGACCAGTTCTGATGGTGATGGTGACATGTTTTTGGTTTGTTTTTTTTTTTTAAGAAATACAAAATATATCAAGGCAAATGAGATGGGGAGATCAGATGGGGAAACTGGGTCTTGCGGAAAGGTTGCAATGCAAAAGGCAGTATTTTTACAGGCTCTGCAGGTGTAAGAATACGTGGGAGGAAAGAGGAGGATTCATTGAAATTTAAAGGATCCGTTGAAAGGAGACCTGTAAGAATAGGAAGAAAAATCAGCAGAGGAGAGTGGCTTTAAAATGTTCCTGTGTTCTTGCATAAATAGATTTGTTGAGACAGAGGTATAAGATTGATGTTTGTGTCTACTTCAGAGCTACCTTATAACTATCTCTTGCAGGTATATGGTCAAATTTGTATTTTAGTGCTCTCATAATGGGGTGGCTGAGGTGGGAGAGGGTGGAATAGAGAGGCAGAAAAGCTTTGATTTAGAGGCAAAACGCAAGTATTTGTTTGCTAATGACTTTTGAGGCTGCCTAGTTATGTGGTCATGATTTTATATAGTGTGAGTGTACTGCTTTTTCACTGAATTACATTTGGTTTTGTCTCTGAGAGGAAGTTCATGAAACAGATTGGGCTGCAGTCTTAGTACCACATAACCCATACGTCATATTTCACTGTGGAATTATTAGAGAGTTTAATAAAGATGGTGATGAGTTCATGATTCTGCTGATATGTTTCATGGACTTTATTAATGCCAATTTCTGAGGGAATCTTGAATTTCTTTTATACTTTCTTCCACTTTTGCATACTTCTGGCTTCAGAGTGTTGAAATCCTATCGGTATGTATAGTAAAGGATCATGACTGTGATTGTTACCACTTCAGGCATCACACACATTCCCTATTTCCTTTCTGTTTTTATTTGCAATCCCTGTATTTCCTGCCCTTTTATCCAGTCAAGTTTTAATGGATGTGAACACCAGTGCATTATTAGGTGTTTGTAAAGTCTAGAGCCACGTGCTTGATCTTCATGTTGCAATCATAACTTAAAACCCATTTGCATGTGAAATGTGGACCCGTCTCCCGGTTTTCTCCTGTTGCCTGAAATTTCCCTGTAAGTAAACTTAAAAATTAAATAACTGTTTTCCTTTTTTTTTTTATAAAGTGAGGAAGGAAAATTGTCTACCTCGCAGGATGCTTCTTGTAAATATGTAGTAGAAGAGAATGCAGAGGTTGCAGAAGAGACCCCTTCAGCTCTGCAGCCTGCTAACAGCAGTCCAGAACAGAGGTAACTGCATTCAAGGATGCTTTCAATCCTCTAAATAGCAGTTTGCATGTTTTTCTAATACGATTGATCTAAAGAGATTAACGAATTCCTGTTAGTTATCAGCTCTGAGTTTAGCTGAATCTAAACATGTGCTTGTATCTGTTTTATAAAATTCTTACAAGTTATATTTTCTGTTGATTGTAAGACTCTTGAGTTATCAAAAATATATTTGCCTTGTACTCTTTGTCTTACAGGGTGTTGTAAATGTCCCCATTCTGTTTTGTGATATGTGTCACCATTTAAGGCTGGGCTGGCGCTTAAAGCAGATGATCTCTAACCCTGTCCTTTCCCAGAGGGGGAAGGAGAGGAGAAAAGGGAGAGAGACTGATGGGTTGGAACTTAAAACAAAACTTTAATAAAACAATAACGTTGAAAAGAGTATAAACAATATTAAAACTAATACTAATAATAATATCAGTAGAAATATACAAAACCGATACTGCTCTT